AGATGTCTTTTAGTCTTTATATTTCCTTCCTTTTGTTTTCTTCTATATTACGCCAAATGAGGCAGAGACTGAAAAGTCCAAGTAACTACATATGAGTCCAATGCTTGCAAATTAATACTGATGCTTATTACAGGGACTCAATGAACTATTTCAAAATCTGTGTTGATAAAAATAAAGAGTTTATGCACAAATTAAAATTTAAAACAAAGCGCATTCATCCTTGAATAATCAAGGACATTTTCTGAGGTGATTCAAACAAACAAGAAATGTAAGAAACCATAACTAAATAATATAAATTTCATGGGATCTTGTATGCTAGTTCATTTCCATATGCAATAGTCACACACACACACACACACACAGAAAGACAGAGAGACAGACCCATAACCACATAGGCCACACACACACCCTCCCGCTCCCCCCTCCCCCTCTTTCTCTCCGTCTCACTCTCTAAAACAATGCCCATGCTGTATAGCAGGTGAAAGAAAAAAAATGTGAAGGAAAAACCAAGTAAAATTCACAGCAGGAACTTATGCAGATAAGTCTTCTTGAGAACCACATCCAGAAATCCTTCAGAATTTCAATCCTCAACAGTACAATCAGGCTACTTTTAACATCAAAATGCACTGATAAAATTCCCCATCAGAATAAGATGAAAATGAATGGTCAACAAAATGCTCCAACAATTTACACACACATAAGAATGTTTCTGAGACATTCATGAGAAAGAAATACCTTGAAAAACAGTTAAAATTTGGATTGGATTATGTGCAAATGTTATTAAGAAGCATAACTAAATCATCATTCCATTGTTTTTCTGTGTCTTTTTCGAAATAACATATCTACCTCTTGCGGTAGGTGAAAGGTCAGCATGCATACCCCATACCCTACTTTCGATTGTGATTTCCAGTTTCATATACAGGTAAGGTATTATGTGCATTGAAAAAATTATTGTCAATTCAAAGTCTCAAATAGAACTCAACTATTATACATTCACTCAAAGTGGACCTACAAGCATGAGTAGATTCCAGATGTAATTCATGGGACCAAAATGGCAGGTCATTTAACTCCAAACATGAGTATAGAAACATCTAAGCTCTAGATATTAATTTTGTGCAAACATTGCAATGGACACATTGAAATCATAGGTAGATGCAAGCAAGTTATTCTAAGGTAGAAGAGTATTATAACAGATTTTGGAAGTGGATAAATTTTTTAAACAAATAATATTGAAAAACAATTGTTAAAAAATAAATTAGAACCATAGTTATGAAAGGCGTGTGGCCAGTGACGGGCGAGAGGACTTTTTTTGTGGCTAGAGACGTGGCGAGTGGATGGCAAACAAAAAGAAGTGTGTGTGTATGTACACACACACACATATAGAATGCATGGCATATCATTAAGTCTTAAATAGTATATAATTGTCAAAGAAAAACAAAAATCACAATAAATAATATTGTAAAAGAAAAAATCATTATTTTTCTAAATTGAAAGAACAATACACAAATTGAAAAATATAATAGTAACTATTAATATTAATTAATTGAATAAAACACAAATTACAAAAAAAAAAAACTAATTAAGAATAATATCCTAAACTTTTGTGACCTGATGCTGCTGTGCTGACTACTGGAGTGCTGGAGGAGAATCGAGACAGGGAGGTGCAACAATTGGAAGTTGCGGGTCTTGCGACTCTGGAACCTGCGATTGGAGCAGTGTCCTAGTTGGGAAGGTGAATCGATGGAAGATTGGAAGAGACGATCGGGAGTGGAAGACTGGAATGGCGATTGACGAGCATGGATTACGATCGGCTTAAGGTAGTGGATCAGATCATTTTATGCTCAAGCCCAATTTAATTACTCCATTAAGGCTGAACAATGAAAAAATGGACGTGTAAATTTCAAGAATAGTACTTCAACTTTTACGAAATTTTCGATTCAGTACTTAAACTTTAAAATCTTTCATAAAAATATCTGAATTTTTACCATCTCTTCACTAAAAGTCAATTTGTCTATTACCAAGTTACCAGTATGTCACTTTGGGCCAAATTGCAAAATTCAAATTTTTATTTTTTCACATTAATCCTCATTGCTTCCTTCTCTTCTCCTTGCACTCCCATAAATTGTATTCTTTTCTTTTTCAACTCACTCCCCTTTCTTTCTCTCCTTTCTTTTTCCCATCGTTTCTTTTCTTTTTTGTTTTTTCTTTCTTTTCTTTTTTCTTATTTGCTATTCTTTCCATCTTTTCTTTTCCTTGTTTTCCTTTGAAAAATTTACCTATATAGGACTAAAACATAATGACTTTCCCGATATATGACCATATGTTTTTATTTTCTAATGTAGGATCTTTAGTCATTATCAATTAGTCATTATTCAAGTAAAATGTCCATCATTATTGGACATTATTCCTCCCACTAGACATTATTAAGTCCTATTTAGAGAATAAAAAAATTTAAGTTCTACATTGGAAAATGACTTATGTTTTAGTCTATTTAGTGCAAATTTCACTATTCCTTTTGATCCTTTTAACTCTTTATTTATTTTTTATTCATTTTCACTTTTTATATTACTTTCCTTTTTACTTTAATTTTCTTCATAATGTCCTCTTTTTTTTCCTTTTTAAATATTTTTTTGCTGTTTTATTTTTCTGTACTTGTTCTCGTTTGCTATGTTTTTCTTTAGTTCCTTTTTTACTTTATTTATTATTTATTCCTTTTATGTCTTTTCTCATTTCTTACTTTTTTTCTTTGTTTTGTTTTCTTTTTTGTTTTTCTTTCTTTTTTTCTTTATTTATCCGTTTCGTTATTTTTTTCCTTTATCTTTATTATTTATCTTTTCTTTTTATACTTAATCAATTTAATTAAACGAAAAACTCAAATCATACGTATTATTTTTTTTGTTTTTTTATTTTGTTTTTTGTTTGTTAACTTTTTTTGTCTGGTTTTAATCTTTATTGTAAACAATTAAATAAAATAAGTGAATAAAAAAGCCTTAAATAAATACATAGAAAATGCAAAAAAAACGAGAGAAAGTTTAACCAACAAAAAAATTGAAAGCAAACAAAAAATATAAGAGAAAATAATATAAAAAATAAAAAAGCAAAGCAAACAAAAAACAATGGCTATTTACACAAAATATATAAAAAAAACTTACAAAAAGTTCACAAAATAACACATAGCCAAACAAAATGATACTATTAAAATATCAAGAAAAAAAGATAAAAAAATAATGAAAAAGATCAAAAAAAGAAACAAACAAGATCGAAAAAATTTTCTCTTGTTCTATTTTTTTCATTTTTATTTATTTATTTAGGGCTTATTTTATTCACTTGTTTTGTTTAATTGTTTACAATAAAGCTTAATAAATAGACAAAAAACATTAACAAACAAAAAACTTAAATAAAACAAACAAAAAATTAAGACGTATGGTTTGATTTTTTATTTAACGAAACTGATAAATAAAGGAAAAAAGAAAGAAAAACAAAAAACAAAACAAAACAAAGTAAGAAATGAGAAAAGCAAGAAAAGGAATAAATATTAAATAAACATTTCAGAAAGGAACCAAAGAAAAAATAGCTAACAAAAACAAACAGAGAAAATTAAAATAATGGAAACATTTTTAAAAAGGAAAAAATAAAAACTAGGACAGGATAAAGAAATTATAATAAAAAGGTAAGAAATGATAAAAAGTGAAAAATGAATTTTAAAAAATAAATAAAGAATTAAAAAAGGAACAAAAGAAAAAAAACAAGCAAAAGAAAAGACGAAAAATAGCAAATAAGAAAAAATAAAAGAAAGAAAAAGAAAAAAATAAAAGAAGAATGGGGAAAAAGAAAGGAGAGAAAGAAAGGGGGGAGATGAAAAAGAAAAGAATATAAATTATTGGAGTGTAAGGAGAAGGAAAAGAAGAAATGGGGGTCAATGTGAAAAAATAAAAATTCAAATTTTACAATTTGGTCCAAAGTGACTTGCTGGTCACCTGGTAATGGGCAAATAGACTTATAGTGAAAAAATGATAAACGTTCGGGTATTTTTGTGAAAAGTTTTGAAGTCCAGGTACCAAATCAAAATCTCCGTGAAAGTTCAAGTACTATTCTTGAATTTTACCCACCGACATCTGAAAGGCGAGAATGGCGAACGCATTCGCCATACACTGCAGCTAGAGGCAGATCCACTTGGAGTCCTATGGGTCCAGGGACATTATATATATTAGCTATTTTTTAAATACTCTTATATATGTATAGACACACACACATAACAAAAAGCACTAGCAAAAGTTGTGGTGTATGTGCTCTAGTGGTCACATGCGTATAGTACTCCCTCCGTCCCACTCTTTTTATCCACTTTCATTTTTGCACACCATCCAATTTACTTCTTTAATCCATTTTATCTTGTAATTTGTATATTAAAAAATTATAAAAATTATATATTAATAATCTATATGTTAAGACAAATCAAACAAGATCACACATGACTATTTTTAGACTTACACATTGAGTGAATTTGATGAGTCAAAGTGCTTAGATGAACAGTTTCAAAAGTCAAAACTGGACAAAAAGAGTGGGACGGAGGTAGTAATTTTCAAATGGTTATGTGTTCAATCCCTCCTTCGTTCAAACATGCGTTGTTTTTCTCTTTTAGACTTGTGTTCTTTTTTAATTACTCCGTAAAAAAAACCATCCATAGCAAATTGGTATAAAAAAACCGAGATTTTGCGGTAGTCATGTTTATTGCCTTTGCGTTGAGTTCCATCTTTTTGCAATTTTCGTCGGTGAACTCCTCTTCGGTTTTGGGGACGTTAAACTCCACATCCGTTCTTGACGATCAACCACAGTTTGTAATCGTTGGATTGGATGAAAATGTAACACCACAACTCGCGTAGCCCAAACCAACGGGGTAGCGAACCGGGTTGTTACTAAGTTGGTATTCACATGCATAATTTTTTTTTTAAAAAAATAATCAACTGAATAAATTATAAAATTCATCCGTGAGAGTTTAAACTAAACCAAAGTTCATCGGAGTGATTAAATAAATCCAAACGTCGCGGAAGCATAGGAAAACCAAAATAATGTTCAACATAATCAAATAAGATAATGTAGTTTAATTATTGGAATAAACAAGAGCCATCCACACCACACCATCACTTCACTGCCCTCCGGGTTGCCCATCCAAATCTGTGTTCCTACCTACGTGCAGTCAAACAACAACGACTACACGCTCAGCGAAACGCTGAGTGATATACCTAAGCCAGCATTAACTCACAAAATAGCACCACATTAACATACAATTAACAATAGCATGTGGTCATGGAGGAAAATTTCTTAAATAAACATATTTATATTAACACCTTCCATTTGAACACTGTGTCCTTATTTTATTCCACATTAATTAACTTTGAGTCATGGCACCCCAAGCAATGCTATAAAAGGGTTAGCTCAGAAACCCAAAGGAGATTCACTTTGGGCGGGTTGAAGCCCCCATCCCTACGATGCCAGGACAGATCGCGAACTTTTGTACGTACGTTTTTAACCCAAGACCACCAGGCGTGCGACGACGCCCCGCAATGGTCAATTTCCTAACCATATCCTATTGGTGATTTAATCAGTCAATCCAATTCAGGTCCGCCTTATTATAATAGGTGGCATATTTCCCATATATTATTCATAGTCCATAATTTTCACCAATAAGATCAATTTAATTTAAATCTCAGTTCACAATTTACAACAAATCACGTAACGGCCTATCCGGGCCGAATACCCACGATTACCGTCATGCATAATCAAACAACCAAAATTACAGTTAAGTCAACTTACCTGCGCGGAATCGAGCCCAAGGAACCCATCCTCAAGTCCGCTGCCCCCGCCGGAACAGTATCAATTACCACCGGATCAGCCGACAACCCGCCGGACTGACCCGGCAGCCCCAACCGGCTGCCCGTTCAGATAGCCCCACTCTGCCAGCCCAACACAGCCAGCCCAACGGCCGGACCCGCCGGCCTAGCAGCCCGAGCAGCCGGCCCAACGACCTGGTCAGCCCTAACTGCCCGGACAGCCCCAATTGAATCCAAACCGACCCGTTTGCACAAAAATCAATCCCAATTGAAACCCGATTGCACAAGAGCAAACCCAATTGAACCCGAATTGACCCAATTAAACCAATTGGTTCAAAATCAAACCAATTGGGTGCAAATTGGACCTGCTGGAAACTGCCCGTACGTCAGCCGCAGCCACCGCCGGCCGACCGCAAGCCGATCGCCGGAAAACAGCCCCCAACACACACCCAATCCAATCCAATGCACAATCAACCACAAATTTCACAATCAAACACAAGATTTTTACAACAAGATCCTAATCTACGAATTAAAGCCAACTATAGGTATAGGAATCACGATTCACCTCAAAATTTGACGAATTCGAAGCTTGCTCGAGGTAGAAGAACTGCCGCTGCACTCCCTGGCTCGACGGACGAGAAGGCGTGCGACGGAGGAAGGAGAGGAGGGCGGAGGTCGGCGGCACTCCTCGCAGCGTCTCTGGTCGGCGTCTCCGGTCGGTGGCACGACAGCGGAAGAAATGAACGGAGCAGGGGAGAAACGTACGGGAGAGTTGAGAGCCTGAGCGTTACGCGGATAGGTTCTGTAACCTCCCTGGCGTTTAATATATACTGTAATTAAATATATTTAGGGTCCACTTTACATTACTTAACCAATTAGGATAAGTTTAACCCCAATTACATGATTCGTCAATCTATCTTGGGCTCAATAGGTCCGATTCATGATCCGTTTGCGCGATCAGGTTCAAAACAGTGAGCTCTATAACATAGGATAAACCCCATTAATTAAAGGAAATTAGAAAATAACCCTTGTGTTGACCGGCCAAATAATCAATCAATTTTATAAATTAATTAAAATACTAAGCCGGGTTTCGGGGTGTTACAAAAATCCTCATCCTTTCCTTCTAATAGGAATAGTTTGTTCCATCAAACAACGGTGGCCTCGTGGTTAATTGTCCCTCGCTAACTCCTGCCATGTGTTGAACATTCTAGATGCCATTGATCTTTTAGTTTCAGAAAATTAAGAAGTATTCGAAAAACTTCCTGCTCTGATACTAATTGTTAGACAAAAGTGTAACTCTAGAGGGAGGTGAATAGAGTTGTTCACTAGAATGTGTGTTTTTCGCGTGTGTGTCAGCGGAATAAAAATCGCAGGAATAACGTAAAGAGCAAGGGAAGAAGTACAGCGTGATTTATACTGGTTCATCACCTCGTGCCTAGTCCGCTCCTCCGAGAGACTCTCTCAAAGGTCCTACTAATCTTAAAGCTTCAACGGGTACTTGAAAAATCGATACAACTCGAGAACTTGAATCACACAAGCCTCAACTTCTTACAAAAAGACTTGAGTCACACAAGTCTTAACAACAAGTCAAACAAGATTGAGATTTACAACACAAGAATGAAAGCTCACACAACTTGAGCAAGTAGTGTTTGTAGAATTTTGGAATTGAATTGCTTGGTTTATTGATACAATCCACATGTATATATATACAACAATAGTTTCCAAAACATGCTAGGAAACATATATGGAATCCTACTTCTATAAGGAAGCAAATTAATATAAGATATGTACAAACATATTCCAATACTCCCCCTCAAGTCACGGATAAGGACCCGCATGCACTTGAGGGGGGTATTGGCGAGTAGCCTTGGGCCGCAAGTCACGCACCACGCAGCAGATTTCTTCAAGGATTCTTTTTCCTTTCTTGGCCATGCTTTTAGTTCCCTTATTTGTTTAGGAGTTTGTTTCCTACTATGAGTTGGTTTCCTTGTATGCTTTTGACTCTCACCCTATATAAAGGGAGGAGATCTTTTGAGAATATACACACAAGAATTATCATTCAATCTCCCATTGAAATTTACATGGTATCGGAGCGGTAGACCTGGTCCGACCGAAACACCATGGCCGAGGTCTCGTCGGAAAATCCCTTTTCAAAAGGTACCGGCGAAGAAGAAATCGTAAGGGTAAGCCCTTATGAATTAAAATCAGCGGATACCCCACGTTGGTGATTACACAGATCAAATTAACTGGAGACAACTACGAAGAATGGGCTCGGGCCGTGCGCATCGCACTCTGTGCCAAGAGAAGATTTGGCTTCGTCGACAGGTCGATTCCCTTGCCCGAAGATGACGAAGAAAAAGCTGAGGTAAAGAACCAAGGAGAACTTCATTCAATATAAGATACTATTGTTGTATAAGGAAACAATTTTTTTTGAAGGCAGGAAACAAATTAATATAAGATATGTACAAACATATTCCAATAGTGTTTGGAATATGAAAGCTCTATGGATGACAATATCTTTAGCACTCAACACAAATATTTCTAACTCTCAAAAGTAATGTATTTAATGAGGAAGATTGAAGCAAGAGTTGAATGTTGAGTAATGAAGGAATGGAGTGCAAGAGACGTGTGTTTGATGAAGGAGGATGAGGGATTTTATAGGGTTAAAAGGAGTAAACCCGTTGTAAGTAGGGATGAGGTGTTTTTGACAGAATTAACTGGTGAGGATCGATCCATGGGAGAGGATCGATCACCTGGATTAAGAATTCGAGAATAAATTTTTATCAACAACACGAGGGATCGATCTAGGGCAGAGGATCGATCCAATGGAGACAAAAACCCAGAAATGAGTTTTTGTCAATGTCACGGGGGGTCGATCCAGGGGGAATGATCGATCCTTCTATGAAAATCTAGGAAAATAAAATGATCGATCCAATGGATTGGATCAATCCACTTCCGAAGCACTCTACACAGTGATTGATCCATTGAAGAGGATCGATCCCTGACGAACAAGGGCCAAACATGGAGGACCCAAAACATTGTGCGAGTGGGATATACAAATTTGGACCAATTGATTTGTTTTGGACAAGAAATCAGGGATGAAGAGGCTCCCATAATCAAACAAATAATATGGGTTGGGATGAATTAATTCAAATTCAAAATTTGAATTAAGAAATGATATTTGGTGTAGAAATTGAGTCCCAAAAATATTTTGTGTGTTAAATGGTGTACACGAAAAATATTTAAAGTATATTTTTCTTACTACAAAAAAATTGTATATCTTTTAAAAAGTATTTTAAGAAATTTTGACACACTGTTTTAAAACTGACCCAATAAATTATTTTGAGACTGAGAAAATTTTATTTTTCAACTGACTCATAAAATAATAATTTGTCCCTCAAAAAATTAATTTGTTTATGGAAAAGTGTTTGTCGTCCTTACAAAAAGTCTTAGACTCAAATAAAAATAAAAGTTTCCAGAGTCTTCACTTCACTTCAATAACTCTGCGTAGAGGTGAGCGTTGATTTTTGTCGCCATAAATTTCTTGATACGCCTCTTTGCTTTTCTCGATACGGGAATAAATTTTCGCTCATCGTTGATTTTAATCATCCTGCTTGTCATTTATCAAAATCGAAAAAATATTCCAGAATATACATAAAAAGGGGTTTGAACTCATGTCCAACTGTGACGTATTTCTTGCGGCAGATCGGGCGAGATGGTCGGGATGGATGTGTGAATTTGAATTATTGTTTTAAAAGACATGGAATTATTATGTTTTATAATTGTGATTTATTAAGCTTCCGCAATTTTAAATACTCCGTTATTATTCTGAATACTTTATTATGAAATAAAGTTTTGAAAATGTTTGAAATGTTTTGAATGTTTACGAATACCAAGTTTATACTTTAGTCCGAAAGGGGCTGCAGACCTGGATGTATTAGGGTGTTACACAATAGCTTAAGATGCTAAATGTGACAAAATATAATAATTAAGGTATAAAATGCATATAATACATTTTAAAAGGACTAAGAAATAAGGGAAGAAAAATGATGTTTTGTGACTTAACATACCGTCCAGACAGTGCGTAGTACCGTCTGGTGGTAGATACCGCAAGAGGAAGAGTTATTTCACGTTGAGACGGTAGCTGGTCTACTGTTGCCGGTGTTATGGCCTACCGTTCCGGCGGTACCTAAGTACAGTCCAGACGGTAGCTTGATACCATATATGGGTGAGTTTGAATAGTGTCGTTTTTAACCTGGGGCCAATTTTCAAAAACTTCATTTTTAATGACCAAACTTTAATTAAACTCTATAGAAATGATCTCCAAAGTTCATAGATCATTTTGATATCATTAACACGTAGTTTTAACAACTAGTTCAGGATTTATGATTCTTGGTTCTTCAAGCATGTCAAATACAAAACTCAACCAAACGGCTGTTTATGAACGTAGAAACGACCCATACGAACATTCTAATCACTAGATATATCTAAGGGCTTACCTCAGGCTTAAACGAAGGTTTTGAAAATTTTCCGACGAAACTTCCGACAACGATTGTGGCTTACTTCGACGATCTCTGACTAAATGGATAGCACCGCTGCATTCTCCACACTCAGAGCAACAAAACAGAAGGAAGAATGAGATGATTTGGTGAAGAAATGAGGGAGGAGAGTATCCTTATACAGTGAAGGTGAAGAAGAAGAAGAAGACATGGTTGTTGTCTTTGTATCTGTTCAACGATTGGCTGAGTGGAGCGAACGATGCAGTCTTGGAGATTTACACGCTTCTCCCTGATTGGGACTAATTTGGTCCCAATCGGGGTACACTTTTTGGTTCAACTTTATCCAAAATAAATTTCAATTGTACCCTTGAGATTAGTCAGTCAAACTCTACACAAGGTTTTGTTTTCCATTATTTATTGACGAACTTTATAAATTACCCATTTTTGGATCCTTCTCAGTAATTAATTATTTATCAATTAATTAATCCTAATAGGCCTATTTTCGAGGCGTTACATGAATTTTCATTTGACTTCCATATGCCTTCACCCTCCTAGCTGCTGCTGCATTCAGAGATACTGCAGTCTTGCGAGATGTTGTTCCAAGCACATTGATTTCACAAATGGCACTAAGATGTGATGGCCTCACCGGAAAGTGTTGAAATTGAATTTCCAATTCATCATCCATTAAGAAATTTAATTACCATAACATGCAAAGCCACTCCATTCGAAATACAAGTAGTTAATGAGAAGTCATGCAAAATGAAGGAAGATCAATGGGTATTGGTGGATGGCTGTCCATGAAAATGTAATAGAAAATGTAATATGTACAAACCAATTCACTTGGATCATAGTCCGATGTCACCTCTTCTGATTCCCCTTCTTCGCTCTCGAATTTCATATCCGAGACCTCAAAATTTGCCACATCCCGTACTTCTAGCGAAACTTCCACGTTAGGTCTATATTAGACGTAGACGTAGTAGGAGTAGGATAGCAACACCTCAGTTTTCGTCTAGATCCACGATTGGGGGGGTAGATCTTGAGCGTGATTCCTTACTCAATAGGTAAAAAGTAGGAATTGAAGGATCTGGATTACCCATAAATGTTAAATTTGGTAGTGGGGAAGAAGGTGAGGGAGTAGAGAAGTTGAAGACTGTGGTGGAGAAGAAGAGGTTACAGGAGAAGATGAAGAGTTTGTAGCGGAGAATTGAACGGATAAGGATAGAGATATCAACAGGGTAAAAGATCAGGGATATTTTCGTCTTTTAAGGACAAAATACATTTCATATTTAAAAATGTGGTAATTTTTATTGGGATCGATAAAAAGAAAAGTGTGGTAATTTTTTAAGGACAGAAGGAATAATTTTTTTCTATCTTACTCCCTCCGTCCCTAAATAGATTACAATTTTTTTTCTCTCCTCTCGATAATTTTTGTTTGTTTACGCAATTTCATTAAGTACTCCCTCCGTCCTATAATGATCTTCCCGGTTCGCAAAACGAAGAAAAATTCCAAGTTTTTTCAATCTATTTTATTTAAATATTGGTATAGAAATAAAAAATAAAACATACATATTTAAAAACTACACCAAAAGTTCAACAAAATAAGTGGTGACAAGAATATTTTATTTTATCATATAGACCATGAAAAAGCACAAATAAATGTAAATTCCCGCTATACGGAGGGAGTATTTGATAAAATAAAATATTCTTGTCACCTCGTGTTTTGTAGAACTTTTGACGTAATTTTTTAATATGTAATTTTTATATCTTATTGACATCCCAATTTGTAAATAAAATGATTTCAAAAAGTAAAAATTTTTACTCCGTAACGCGTAATTTGTAATCAAATTGGGGACGGAGGCAGTATTCAAAACAACCAATACTTTTACACTTCTATACACTTCTATATGCCACCAATATTCATACACTTCTAGAACGAGGATGGTCCTAGAATAGCGCTTAAAAAACGGAGTCAGTCGGCGTCCCTATCCGTGACAGCCCCCCGTCCCCACCAATCCGCGTAATTGCCGTCACCATTCACAATCACGCCATTTTGTAACTCCCCACTTTTCTTCTTCTCTTCTTTTGACCGTAGTAGTAGTTTTTTTTACAGTGTATTTCTCCCACTCCCCACATCAAAACTTCTACTTTGACAATTCGGCACCTAAACTTTCACTTTGACAATTCGACACGCAATCCCTCTCTCACCTTCCTCGAAACTTCTTCTGAGTTCTAACCATTTCACCGATCTATATAATCCTACTGCCCACCTACCCACCCACCCACTCTTCTCTATCTTCTTCTCTCGATCTGGCTCTCTGCTTTTCTGTAGACAAAGTTTCAATCTTTACGCGTTTCTTGATTTACCGGCGAGGCAAAGGAGCAAGATGGAGAACTCCCAGTCGTCTTTCTGGCAGTTCAGCGATCAGCTCCGTCTGCAGGCGAGCACCTTGGCCAATCTCTCCCTCAACGATTCCATCTGGAGCACTAGCTACGGTACCAAGCGTCCTGAGGCGAGGCGGAACTTCGAGGTCAATTCGCTCAACAACGCCACCACCGCCGCCGCAGTTGCTCAGACCAATAACCTGCCGGTCAAGGGTTTGAAATCGAATTACAATCTCTTCAGTAATGATGGGTGGAAGGTCTCCGACGAGATCGGTTCGATTTCTTCCGGATCCGGGTCTGGGCAATCTGCCAAGGGGGCGTTTGGGGTGGGGTTGAACGGCGGGTTCAACAAGGGGATCTATCCTGCTCCGGCGACCAGCTTCAATTCTTACAGTAAAGGGACTAACAACGTGGCGGTGAATAACAGTCAAGGGTTTAACATGATCAAGAAAGCTGGGAAGATGGTATCTGAAGACGACCACGGGCACGGGAAATTTGGGAAGAAGAACAAAAATGTTAGCAGAGAAGGGAATAAGGAGAACAATAATGGGGAGAAAAATTCATCTGATAAGAGATTCAAGACTTTGCCTCCCTCAGAAGCTCTGCCTAGAAATGAGACTGTTGGAGGGTACATCTTTGTCTGCAACAATGATACTATGCAAGAAAATCTTAAAAGGCAGCTCTTTGGTGAGAACCTTAAATTTTCATCTAATATTTCACCACATTTTTTTCTATTTCAGCTCTTTTTTATTTAACTTTGGCTGGAAGTTCTATTCAATTGTGGAGGATTTATGTAGTCACAGTATCTAAGGTTATTGATGTTATTATTAAAACAATGTCATTTCTGGACACAGTCATTGCTAGGATTTAGCTATAAGGATCTCTTGTTTTTCTTTTTTAGAGTTGATGTTTGACATGGGTTTTCAAAATCGACATGGATGGACTCAGGAACAGTTTCTTTTTTTGTTGGACTTGTTGTCATGAATCTTGAAGCTAAAGTGGTTTGATTCTCTATCAATATAGAATAAAAGCAGAATTGTTTTCGTAGGATGTCATTATATGTTCTTTAATTCAAATTTTGAAGTAAATTGTATTGTTTGATGTGAAACCACCAAGCGTGTGATGTCAAAAGGAATAATGGTTTGATCTGAGGATTGAATGGGTGAATCGATCTTCTTATTCTACTTTTATGGTGGATTCTTGTTTTTTAATTGTATTGTTAAATTCAGGATTGCCACCCCGTTACCGAGATTCGGTGAGGCAAATCACACCAGGATTGCCTCTTTTCCTCTACAACTACTCAACTCACCAGCTTCACGGAGTTTTTGAGGTTAGTATCATGCGTACAACTATATATGTCTGTCTTAGATATCATCAATATAATATAATGTTAGATTGGGGTATCCATGCATTCAATCATAGAGCTGAAATGTGACGTATGAATGTTTCAGGCTGCAAGCTTTGGTGGAACAAATATTGACCCTACAGCTTGGGAGGACAAGAAGAGTCAAGGGGAATCGCGCTTCCCTGCTCAGGTATGAATGATCGCCTCCTAGAACTATTTTTATCCAACAAAAGCCCCAGTAAAGGGCTCTAGTGGCCAGAAAAGGGCATATTTGAAAACTATCAATTGGGTCTTTGCTTCTTCCCCTATGAAAACTCCAACCAGAAAAGGGCATAGCGGCCATTTCAGTTAACACACTTGGGTTTGTTTGTGGATTTAATTCAGGTGCGGGTCTTGACAAGGAAAGTGTGTGAGCCACTTGAGGAGGACTCGTTCAGGCCAATCCTTCACCATTATGATGGCCCTAAATTCCGCCTTGAATTGAACATTCCTGAGGTGATGATTCTGTTCCATTCTATTCTATTCACAATTCTATGCCAAAACCATTCTTGAGCATACATTTGAGCCCAATCAAAGACACTAAACATTTTGGTTTTATTTTGCAGACCCTCTCACTGTTGGACACTTTTGCAGAGGGCCGTGACGTGCCCATCAACAACCAAGACAGCATATAAGTTATAATAAAGTGGCGTAATGCGAATAAGAATAAGCTCGTTAGGCAAGCAAGTGAAACCAAAGAGAAGAGAACATGTTTAGGTAATAGGAAAACGAAACCTTGTTATGATCTCCCCAACGGCTTGAAGCTAAGCAAAATCAAAATGCTCTTTTTTATTTTTTGTTTAATGTTGGTGTACATATTACAGATGATGATGTTTTTGTGTTGAAAAGGCATGTACTCGGTCATACTTATAATCTGTAATAATATACTCCCTAATCATATGTTTTACTCGTATTTATGTCTCCTCGGAATTAACTTGTTTATGAAACAGGTGGTTTCTGGTCTTGGGTTGCCTATTCCGGTATTTTATTTGAAGGCAGTCAGAGTTTCATATGCGAGTATACTCTGTGCATCATTTGATACCGAATTTCTCGAATTTATATCTAGTACTTCACTAGACCTGGCAAAACAGAACCGGAACCGATTACTCGAACTGAAATATCCGAAACCGAAACCGGAATAATCCGAAAAATGAAGATCCGATCTATAACCGAAAACCCGAAATGATCCGAACCGAACCGAAACCGAACTAAATAATTCATATCCGATTTAAATCCGAAACCGATTAGATCCGAAACCGATAATATCCGAACCGATTAAACCCGAAACCGATTAGATCCGGACCCGATAATACCCGAAACCGATAAAATCCGAAACCGATTAGATCTGAAACCGATAATATCCGAACTCGATTAGAACTAAAATCGATAAATTCAGAACTATGTTTACCTTTCAATAAGCATATTATATTTTTAAATTTTTACTTTTATTTTACCATTTGAACTAGTTACATTACTTGCTCATTCCCTCATAAAATGGATTATCTTCTTGAAAAAAAGTACAAATTGTTATG